TTCCAAAAAGGATGACAAAAAAAAGCTGAAAAAAATTTGGAAATGTTATAGTTCAGCCCCACATAAGTAGAATCATAATTGTTCGAGTACAAATAATTTTTTTCACTTTAGAAAGGTTGAAGGTTACATGTGGAAATATTGAGTTATTCATTCTTGGCAGAGAGACTGTCTCTCATTTTGTTTCAAAATGAATATAGTTTCATAATACGAAGTGATGAGTCGATCTCATTATAAAGCTTGAAGACATTGTAGGCAAAGCTTTTTCAGAACAGAGAAGTTTTGTAAGGTGGAGGCTAGATATATCTGTCCTATATTTCATCTCATTGTAAAGATATGGGCGACACTGTTCATTGATTATTGAATGGTTTGAAATGAGAAAATGAAGTTTTCGACGATCTTGCATTCCCAACCATTTTGTGGATCTTAGCTTATGAGATATTGGATATTATATTTACGAAAACCGTAGATCAATCTGAGACATGATTTCTGAATTTTTTCTATACGATTGATATCGTTATGATCTAAACATGGTCCATACAGAACATCACAAAAATGAAAGTGACTCAGGACAAATGTATCACTTAGCGTTTTTTTAATGATTTTGAAAGAACATGTCTATGAGGATGAAGTATTTTCAATGAACAATAAGCCTTTTGAAGACAAGAGTCAATATGTTCTCTAAATAGAAGTTCAGTATCTAAGTGTAAACCTGAATTTTTTGCATCACTTGTAAACAGTAACACTTCATTTTGAATTTTTATTCTCATAATGGTTTCAATGTGATACTTGTTATTTCCATATATTACTTCAGACTTGAGTGCGTTGATTTTCAACTTATGTATCATCAACACAAAACACAAGCACTACAGGAAAATCTTCAAGGCGATCTAAGAGCGATGTCTGTGCGAAAGTAGCGATTCACATTGGATTTGAATCGCTGGAGACTAAATCCATTTGGAAAAACGTTCTCAGGAAGTTCATTCCACATAAAGGCAGTTCTCCAAATGAAAGAGTTCTTGAGTAGTGAAGTACTGTAGTTGTACTGAGTTGAACCTTCACAAGTTGTAATGCTCAAAATGAAAAGAACGAAGGAAAACACCAATTTTTGCCCACTTTTTGATAGCAGTAAACCGGGGCCACAATGAACACGTCTAGTCGCTGCGAACGAACATATGACATGGCTAAAAGATGTTTGGACGAGGCCTCATCTTGATTTTTTTTTTACTTTGTTTTGGTAAATACTATTTTGTTTTAGAAGATGCAATATCAAAATATTGGGTGTTTCGAAGTAAATAATACGACCGCTTACGTCACCATACGGATTTAATAGAGAGCATTCGCAAGGTTTGGTTCACCGAAGGAATATATATAAATAATGCCCCATTTCGCTCTGACGAGTTTGAAAAATTTCTGAAAGAGGAACACCTTACAGCCCCAAACAAACGATCAGGCCGAAAGTGTTGTTGAAATCATGAAGAAAGCAATTCTGAAGGGTCATAGTAAAAGTATAACTGATTTTGTATAACTGAATTTTGTAATACATAGGTTTTTTTTTCTGTTTCAAAATACTACACACCCTACTACAGGTGAGGCATCTTCGAAGGTACTTTTGGGCCGACGACTGCCATCAAAATTTGATCTATTTGAAAAAACAGTAACTAAAAATTAGGATAAAGAAAAGAAAAATTATCAATTGAGGTCATTTTTGAAATTTCCGAGAAATTTTAGATGAAGGACCTCAAAGACGGGTAAAGTGTGCATTAACAAAATACTGGATCTAGAACATATTTAGTGTCTACAGATGATTGAGAAACGACTTGGAAAAGGCAATCAGTTAAGACCAAGAATCGGAAAAAATTTGTTTTAAGTTATTCTGACTACTACAGATTAGGGGGTTATTTCTCAATCATCCAAATGAATTGTTGAAATGGTGAAGTGGTGATAAATGAGTGTCATACCGACATTTCAGAAAATGACCAAAGTGAAAGCGCCAAATGTTTGCGGAGACGGCATCAGTTGCAACTTCCAGAACGATTTACTCTATTTTATGAATCTTGAAAAAAATCTGCCATTTATTTTCGTCAAATATTTTTATTGAAGTATATTTTCTGTAAGGAAGAGATGTGTACTGTATTAGAGAAAACAATCGAGTGCGCTCCTGCACTCCTTCAGGTAAAAAAGGGTTCTGGGCCCGAATGTATGAGACACCGAATATGTTTTCTTCAGTAATAAAAGAGCAGCATTGAACAATTGTTCAATTCTTAACTATAACACAACTGGGAAAATACACAAAGAAACTCACACAGGATAATTTCTATAAAACTTCAGAATGAAAAATGAACTGAAGAACAGAATAGATCTGTATAAGACAGACTTCAGCTGCAGAAGAGAGCTCATCATATTTTCTGCGAATGCGAAGTAATGGATCATATGAGTGAATTATGGACAAGACAAATTATATCCAGAAGAATATGACAAAAATACAAAAGAGGATCTGTACAAATCAGTATAGTTAACAAGATTGTTGGAGAGGGTGTCGTGAACAAATGGGAGTAAAAACACAATAAGCTGCGGGGAATTCCGGAATTTCTAAATAAATTAACAAGTCAGCAAAAAAAGCTGCTAATATCCATTTGGGAAAACAATATATTCTGTTTTGTTAACGCTTCTCTCTAACATGCAGATAAAATTCACTGTTCATAAAGATTTGCTCTTGCACTATAAAATCAATTAGTAAGTGATCACTTATATTATCTACCTTTCAATATCTGTAGCGACTGAAGAAAAGCAAAAGAATGCTTGCTTCATAGAAAAAAACTCTCTCGCGATAACGATTCTAATTATAATATTTCATAATGAAAATCACATGTTATATCAATCATAAACTTTATCTTTGAATGCCTAATCTCAATTTATTCCTGTTTCGTTGTATACCCAAGATAGGAAAATTGTACGTTGATAAGACTAAATAACTTTTCCATAAATCTTATTACTCATATAGTGAATCCCATTTTAGAATGTTGAAGACGAATGCCACTCGGAAAATAGTGTCGAAGACAACTCACCTTACGGGGCCTGAATATTCATTTTCTCAGCATAAATCAAAATCAGTCTGATGACTGTGTCAAGGAGAGGTACATATCATTAAGTAAACACTACTTTCCTTATACAAAAGTTATGCCACTTCCAAAAGCCAATCATCCCCAAAAGTACAATGATTTGAGTTTAGTAAGCATTCACCCGACTTTTTCAAAGATCATAGAAAGGATAATAGATAGTCAAATCAGAACTTCCGCCAAACTAACTTATATATTACCAGTCAACAGTGGCACTAGAAATAGTTGATAATATAATTGAAACAATATTAGATTATTATTGAGGCAACAATATCATTTCTTTTGGACTATTCTAAAGCATTCGATGAAATTTCGTTAGTTATTCTGCAGCAGAACGTTAATTTCAACTTATCTAGAAAAAAGATATCCCAACTTGGATATCCTCTACTCGAAGTTAAATAGATGAAGAGGTGCCGCAAGGCAGTATTTTGGGTCAATTTTTTTAAACTCTGTAGACAAACACTCTAATTGAAAAATAAAATTAATTGATGGATGTAGCCGTTACTACGTGGTAGGAAATCATAATGAAGAGTTTAATGTATACGTTTGGAAATGTCCTTATAGGACGAAACTGCAGTAACGTTAGTTACAAAAAAAAATGGTGAAAAACATAGAAAGTTTCAATTCTCTTTTCTTCATTTAATTTAATATAATTTCTATCTACATGTGATTCTCAAATATATTTTACCTCAAACATATCCTATTCTGAAAATTTGTCCAAAAAAGACAAATTCTGGGAATGATTAATTCTCAATTTGAATTTGAGTCGAATGAGTTCTTTCCTTCAATCCGCTTTAATGTTTGTGATATTCTATATGTCGCAGCCAACTGGTCAAAATAGCCGTTCAATCAAACAGGTAGCCCTTTGACTGAACAACGCCATTCAATCACACGGTTATTCGTTGTTTAGCCGACGTGTTGACTGCAACGTTCAACATTAAAACTAGACGACGCTTAGCCAACTGGTTAAATGGCAAATTGACTAGGGTGACTTGTAAAGATACAAAAATTTCATCTATTCTGGGTAAGGGATGGTTGAAATCTTTAAGATATTTGTTTATCGTCATTTTGAAATTGGCACAAATCCGAATGTCTTTACCATTTGCCTTCATAACACGTACTAATGGCGTTCCCCAATTAGAATTGTCCACCTTCTCAATTACACCTTCTTTTTCTAATTTTTTCAATTCTGTCTCCACCTTTCTGCGAAAAGCAAATGGAACCGAATGAGGCTTGTGGAAAATTGGTTTAACATTTTCTTCTAGCTCTAGGCTAATACATTCCTTGTTATATGTACCTAGCTCTTGAAAACAAAACCCATCTAACACCGCGGTGGTGTTAGATGCGACATATATATCCCTACGTAGCAGTGATATGAATCGGATAACAAAAAATGCAAAATCCTCTATAAAATTAATAAATAAATCTAGAATTTCTTGAGAACTAACTGAAGTAAACTGGCTTGATATGATCAATCGCAGAAGATTATATACATCAGGTACGATTAAATAATTGTTCAAGAAATATTTGTCATGTAATATTTTTCCTATTGTAAATAGTGTTTGGGAATGAAAGGTTTTGGTTTTCTACTTCTCCATCTTTATACAAATAAATGTGGGAATCGTCCAAAGAATGGAAGAAAGCAATCTCCAGTTTATTCTTCAACTTTTACAAATAGTTGAGAAATTGAAAAACCTGGGTCTAAAAACTGGTTGACACACTGGTGAAAACATTAGAAAATAAATATTTCGAAATCAACATTCGAAATGTTCACCATTTCCAACATTCAAAATATATCATGATATTAATCCCAAGGGTCATTCAGATTCATTATCCACATAAAAAACATTCATAATAAAATTGGTTGAAATTATTGACTCTTACCTGATTCCGCCACTGAACAGATGAATGGGGTGAATTTGACATTGAAAAATGTCAGCATTTGGTTTATTCTCACACATTCACATGCCTCTTCGAAACCAGTAGTAACATTATCATTCGCCAGAATCTGCAGGTTGCAGAATCCCACGAGATTCTTTCTAGTCATCGTAACATACTGATTTCCTGTTATATTCAAAAGTATCAAGTATGGAACAGGCCCAAAATCCGGGAATTTGTTTATGTTGTCTTCATCTGTGGTGTAACTGATATCGACTTTCTCCAAAGGACTACGAATCGGTTTTGCGCTATCCAGTGCATCGATGATATTCATGTTGACATTTTGACTCAAGTACAGGGTTCTCAGAGACGGTAGCTGGAATATCGCAGTAGGTAGTTTCGTTATGGCATTCACTGATAGATCGAGGGTACGCAAGGAATTCATATCGTAGAAGACGTCATCGTCAATCTTGAAAATCAAGTTATCTTGTAAGTACAGAAACTGGAGGTAACTGAACGGAGCTAAGTCGAATCTGTTGATTTTGCGAATTCTGTTCGAGGTTAACTCTATCACCTACGGAAACGTAAATGTAATTAGACCTTGTGAAAAATATACGGACTGAATGATAAAGAAACATGAAGAAAAATTGAAACAATTACTGTGATCGATACAACTACAACGATAAAACTGTGTAAATGGGACTCAAGACTTTCATTGGGTTGAAAATATTCATTTTCATAATGTCATTAAGTGGATGGAAGGTCTTATGATTCAAATTATTATTGAATGAAGTACTAATCAGCAAGTCTTTGATTGAATTATAAACTCGATAAATATATTGTGATTCTAATGTATTCAGCCTGGCTAATCATTCCATATTATATTATGAAAGGATACATCGATATTCATATCCAAACAAGGATCAGGAATTTATTAATTTCTCATACTGTCGAAGGTTGGTAGAACTCGAATGATCAAAAATCATTGGCCATCTCTGACGAAAAAAATTTTTCGGAGAATATAATAATGAAATGTCCGTTTTCAATTGGAGCTTGATAGGAAGAATTAGAACCCCTGACGTAAAATGAATCCATTGAAAATACTTTTCCTATACAAAAAATTACTGTAATCGCCTAACTCCGTTAGCAAAACTCGCTTCGAAAGAGGCTTGGGAAAAGTGTTTTCAATAGATGGATATGACGTATTTATCCAGGTGTTGATGTTTTTTCCCAAAAGAATGAAAAGGTGTTCTTTGATTAGATGGTAAATATAAAATGAATATTATCATGGTTGAACAAAAATAAGTTATCTTGAAAGATTAGTGAAACAGTATATTACTTTATACACCACAATCCAAGATCATCCATTGAACCTTACAGTCAAATCACATAATCTGTCATGTGGCAAGAAAAATAATTGTAGATGTTTGTCATCACAAAAATGTAAGTCTATAAAATACCTCGTAGTATTGTAAGACCAACACCTGCAATGGACCGAGCATATAAGCTATGTTGCTAGACTACGGGTATTCATATCTGAATTTGATGATTCACATAACATGCCATCACCTAAAAATTCAGGTTATGTTGAATTCTTCACATGTGAATCAGTAATTTCGGTTTGAGGAGCTGCATACAACATTTCTTTGAAAACTGCTCAAAATTTATTACTCAAAATTATTTTCAGAAAAATTAGATATTTTTAACGGAGTTATTTAACATATTCGTATCAACGAATGTTTGATGAATAAATATCGGATTCGCAACTCCCACAAGATCAAAGCCCAATTCTAAAATTTTTTCTTACTATTCCTGATTCGACTGAATTGAATAATATTATGTTCGAATTCAAATTCAATCGTTCTTATTGATATCTGCAATTCATTCAAACCTCTAACATTACAATTATAGCAGACATTTTCTGAATATTATCCTGAGAAATTCGAAAAATAAATACTGAGATACCCTGTATCTGTTGAATACATCATGCTCATAAGCAGAATAGATACTGCGATTCTTCATTATGAGGTCATTAGGTTCGAACTTATCAGGGGTGAGTCTCAGGGAGAAATACTATTCCACTAACTGTTTTCACTTCTGATAGTCAGTGTGCTTGATGTTCCTGACAAAAGATAGGTATGCAAGCTTATGCAGACTATCTTCTCGTCTTTGCAAGGACCACCTATATAAGGGATGTTAACCCATAATATCTTTCAAAAAATGGACGATGCTAGTTTGTGCCAAAGGTTTCAGATATCTGCAAACCTCTGCAGAACTGTGATGGTCCCCATCACCAGAAAGAGGAATTTTAATGATTTGATTCCATTCTCCTTCATGATGAGGTTGTTCCATTTGCTCCCTTGAAAAAGGTTTTTCACAAAGCTAGACTATCCCCATAGAAACGAAGAATCAGTGAAAAATCTTTGAGCTTGAAATTCATCAGATATATGTGGTGATTTTCAGATCAATGATCACGAACGGATCTGTGCTTGAAGGCTGATAGCACAACAGCAAATGGTAGAGGCGAAGCTATCTGATGTGAAGGGACAGGCTTGCCTGACTGTCTCCGGTGCCGCGTCCGTACCATACCGTCAGCGATCACGAAACATTTTTCTGGGCATATCTTCACTTTACATCTTTCTGGGGAGAGAGGTAATATGAACAATATTGTTCAATAGAATTGTGCTTATTGCCACTTACATAAAACAGTTTATACGGAGCGTAGCGGAATCTACTGCTACACTACTACACTAAATACCTTGTATGTATCTTTTGAGAAAAGTCACAATTGAAGCTATCAGTACATGGAAGATGAGAGTGTTAATTCACGGATGCGCCAGGAACCTCGAAACTTGGGCTTCAAAATATGTCAACTTAGGTTTTGTCAATTATGGAGCAAGAATCACTTCAATCTTTCATATTTCGAAACTGTGAGAAGATGACTTAACACCTTTATGCTCATATTATAAGACCACAGCAGGGATGATGTACATTGTATAACAGGAGATAATTGGGTGAATTCAAATTGGTGTGAGATACAATAAACCCTCGCGGGCTACAGTGACAGGTCAAATAGAACCACTGACTTCGAACCTAACCTGATCTAACTCCATGTTCACCGATTCATTGAAATTGATAATCAAATTCTGTAAGTAAATCAACGACAGAAATTCACCGATTCACTATGAGTATTTCGACTGATTTTCACTATTTATGCAGAGGGTAGTCAAAAATAAATTCAATACCATCCTTTTCTCCGTATATGTGAAACTTCCAAGAAGATTAATAAATATGTTACCTCAACCTCACCGATTTTGTTATATCTACTAATGGAAATACAAGCATTTTGAAACGTCTGGCAGGAAACTAATTTCGAATACCACAAATCGTAAAGTATGAATTCTTATCGCCACTACTCTCAAAATATCTGAGCATTCTTCATTCACACAAACATGATCCAAAACAATACGTTTCAAGCATTCATAATGTCCAAGCTCATCAACCATATCTTCAATGTTGTCACTGAAGTTTAATAATTTTACAATTCACTTCAGATAAATATGATGAGATTTCCGTTAAACTGACCACAGTGAGAGATCCAAATAATTGATCTATCTTTCGTAATTGTTGATAGGATTGGCCGGATACCGGAAATTAATGTTTATTGGTCCATGCGTATTCAAATAGTAAAAAATGATACCGAATAGAAAAAGAACACAAAGGAAAACCACTCTGCATTAAACGAAATATATTTTCATTAACTACACCTTACGATTTGATCTTCACAAACTTTGTTTTCAAAAATATATCACATATTTCACGACATGTTTCGCTATCACAGTAGCTTATTGGTATATATGTATACAGCGTGAATCGCTGGACTTGTATAAACAGCTCAACAAGTTTTAATATTGTTTTCCTACGACTATGTAGAAATAACCTCACACACTGAAACAATTCCCTGAGTCATCTATCAAATTGAGATTTGTTAGTTCGAATGAATTTCTTATTGAATTTTTTCAGGCAATTCTCTCTTCATACTTCGTGACAGTAGTTCATCAAGATGTATTGGCCAGTTATCTTTGCATTTTGATTCTGAACCAGAGAAACTTTGATATGGTGAATTCAACTGTTTTATTCAATCCTCCTATACAATTTTCCATTCTTACATGTCACCCACCTTTCAAACGATGCAAGCGAGAAACAGGTCTTGGGCTGAGTATCGAGCACAGTGGTTTATTAATTTAAATTCGATGTGATGGCTTATGCATCAATGATTGCGTTGAAAGAGGTTTATTTTCAGAAGAGATTAGTTTTTTGGAAAGGAAGGTTTTGACTTCCTACTTCTTCATCTTTATACAAAAAAATATGTGTGAATCTTTCAAAGAAAGAGAGGAAGTAATTAATTCCAAAATAAACTCTCCATAAAGATGTGTATATGATGCAAAGAAGTAACTTCCAGACACAAACTGGGAAAGAAACCTTTTCGAAACAACTACCTTTATATGAACATTGAATTGAACGAAAGAAAAAATACTTTCGAACCAATTACTCTTATATGAACATTGAATCATACAAAAATCCTTTTTTTCTATCCAGTTTGTACTCCAAACATACGTTATGGAATTGAATCAGATATCATTCATAGATTGCTGCACAAATTAGTATACGAAAGAGGTAAAATTTCACTTACATGGAACATTGTCATCCTCAATGGCGGACATCGATGTTTCAGGATGAGATATTTGCCTTATTGCATCTTCAGCACGAATCTGAATAACATTACAAGATAAAACACTCAATTCATTCATGAAATTGTGAGTTTATGACACGAATGAGTTCAATCTGCTCGTCATCGATGACAGTACATAATGATATTATTTCGCTCATTTAATTCAATCTCAGCCATAGAAATCTTGTTTAATTTGAAACGAGTATATTTATGAGAAGATGAGTGTTTTGACAAAAAGGTTCTGGTTATCTACTTCTCTATCTTTATACGAAAAAAATATGTGAAAATCTTCCAAAAAAGAAAAGAAACAATCAATTTCGAGATGAACTCTTTACAAAGATGTGTAGATGATGCAGAAAAGTAACTTTCAGACACAAACTGAAAAAACCATTATGAAACGAATACTTTAATAAAAACAGAATAACAGAAAATAAAAATACTTTAGAAACAACTTTTACATGAACATTGAATTATACAAAAAATACTTTTTCCTTCTCAGTTTGTACCCCAAATATACGTTATAGAATTGAATCAGATGTTATTTATAGGATTGCTACAGATTATCCTATATGAAAAAGGTAAAATTTCACTTACATGGATCACTGTCATCTTCGACATCGATGTTTCAGAATGAAACAATCGCTTTATCGCCTTTTGAGCACCAATCTGGATAGCATCAAAAGATAAAGCACTCAATTAATTCATGCATTACGACCTCATGTCACGATGAGTTAAATCTACTTATGACATCGATGGCAATACGTAATGGTATTAATTCGCTTCAATAATAGCCAATAATATGTGGGAATCTTTCCAAAGAAAAGAAGAAAGCAACTAATTCCAAAATAAACTATTTACAGAGATATGTATATGATGTATTGAGATGGACAGGTAGGAAGCCAAAACTTTTTTTTTCCAAAAAACATCAATGATCTATTGAACAAGGCCATACATCCAATATTCTGCTTCGGCGGCGACAGCATAATCGTCTCTGCCACTGCACATATTCGGCAACCAATGGAGGTTTCATTTCGTAAAATTTGGAAGACTGAATTGATTCGAGTTGACAGACACCAAGTACGATTTTATAATTCAACTCAAGTATCAGTTTTCTCTAAAAAGGTAATTGTTACTCAGCCTCAGGGCATTATTCTTCGCTGTGTCGATTGATTTGTTGGATGTCACATCGAATACCAACAGGTATGTCTTGGTACAATCACGTTAATGGAAGAGCAAGATCAGCTTCTTAGTAACATGAGATGGTATTTCGAATTGGAAAATTATACACAACTTACTGTACCTTATTATTGCTTCTTTAAAATTATTAGTACATTGACTCGTGTTTCCCTACACGGTTGCTTCATCAGTTAGATTGTTAGACTGGAAGCTACCGTGCAGTCGCTACCATTCGTTTCCTATAAAGGCAGTGCTATTTGGTGATAAGTGAAACCCTTTGACTTGGAGTGATCGACACTTCTCACAGCAGGAGTCGCAAAGTAGTCCATAACACATAGGACTAGAGAAGCGTATTGACTCGCCGACATGAACTCATTCAATTTATTCCAAATCTAAGATATGGAAAATGCTTGAACGGTGTTGCACATGGTGGTTTTGATTTGCCAGATGTCAGTATTCTCCATAAGAACATCACGGACATCTGGATATACTCGAAACATTCGTTTCTATAGAACTGTAGAATTATCGAAACGCTCTGGGAGCGGTTCTATGCGAAAAAAGTAATTCACGTTTGATTTAAATCAATGAAAATTATGTTCAGTCGAAAATACCGCCTGAGGAAGTTTATTAGACAAGTTCAGTTCGAAGTATATTGAGTTGAGTTCCAACCTCGAAGCGATGGAAAACTGTATTTTTTTGCGTTCGCACTAGGTGGATTTAACGGACTGAACCAAATGAACACTTCCCGGGAAAGTATATATGAAGGAGGCAAGGCCCCCAAACTTTCTTAGATGTTTCAGGCTACCAAGATTGCTTATAATGATTGGGTCTTCATTCAGGCAAATAACTCTCTTTAAATAAATTCTTACAGTTTTTAGGGTATGTTCAGAGCTCTATGAATAACCAAAAGTTGCCGAGATATGTACAACTTTCCAGTTCGAAAGTTCGAAGTTCCTGAGAAGATGCCTTTGTTATTCCAGTATTGTGCCAAGATATTGGTATCCAATTTATCGTTTCAAAAATTGATTAATACGGCGGAATTGTAGGCCTCGATATTATGATGTCACATTTCCATTAGAGAAAACCGATTTTCTCTGGATTTTAGTAGCACTGAATTCTTTTTCGTTTGTATCACAACAAATCTATTTCTTCCAGACATTCAGCAAGACAATTCCTCATGCTGTTTCCGTAGATATACATTGGCAGCTGATATTCGGGTATCCAAATGGAAATGAGAGACGCGTGTGTTCAAAGCAAAATATCGTATTTGTGATCGTTTTCAATGGAGAACATGAAGTTGATGATGAAGGAATGCTAAAGAGACATCTAAAAGACATTCTGATAAGCAATAACATCGAAGTTCAATAAGTAAACTCCCATTATCTTGAAAATATTTAGCGGAACAACCCAAAACTTTCGGTGTTTCATATGTGGGAAGGTGTTTGTTGATCTTTTATTCCGGAAACCATATTGATGATCAATTGATGTGTGGAAAAATTTCAAATATCACTCATTGGAAAACAATTGGTCTTGTAGGTACTCGGAACATTTTTGGCTTCATGCGCCTAACATTGTGGAGCGCCTTGCAGATTATCATTGTTTCTACTGAAGACATGATTCGAATCTTTATTTTAATCTCAACAACGAGTATAATAACCTAAAGCATCCGCTTGTATAGCTGGTATAGCGGTATAGCACTAAGCGTCACCACCTTGTCTCGTATCCTTATTCCTTAGGGGTTGATTGTGAGAGCTACTACCTCGTCAGGGAAATTCAAGTATCCAAATATATTATTTCAATTGATAATCAACCGATGTAGCAGGAAAATAGATGATTTATAACACTCACCTCTACGTCAGTTGATAGGCACTTAGGGAACTGCTTGAAATCCCTCTGAAAGCAATCTGCTGCCTTCAATCGGTGGACTCGAGTCACGGTACATCGGGGTCCCTTATGGCAATCAGCAAGAACCATTCCAGAGGAACATATCATGTAGAGTATTACGAAAATCACCAATGCTATGAACACGAACGATCCCATCTTCATAAATGTTCAAAGCTGAAAAAAGTAAAAATTCAGAACGTTCACTGTCAGAACAGAAAAACTATATACGCTCCTTTTTTGTTGTTTGCGTAATTGAGTCTAGGGTGAGGCGTATGAAAAACCACAAAATGAGTTCATTTTAAATTCAATATGATGCAATACAGGGACAGGGCTATGATATAAAGTGAAAGGTTTGTGAAAATTTGAAAGAATAGCTCCATGAAGACAACATTAGGAACTCTAAAAAAATATGCATTACATTTTCAATTTACAACCCAACGAATGTCTATAACAATTCCTCAATTTATGATCATCGCTTTTCGAATGAATCAAGAATTATTAATATTGCCATAATAACCTACTTTATGATATTCATAATATGAATGGTTCATTATGGTTCATAATTTCTTTTTGAATTATCTTCCAGATGATAACTACGATAAAATTCAATTTCCATTTCACCTCTTATGGAATTTTTGGTAGACCTGACAGGTGGCATACTTTCTTCAAATATTTGTTTTCAATGAGATCGGTACCTGCAGCATCATACTATATCTTAATCTTTCGTAGAAGAAACGCAAACAAAATTGTTAAGGAATATTTTTTATCTATGCACTTTCAAGAATATTTCCATGGATCAATAATTCAATGAATAAATACGGGCTTGTGTAAACAATATACCTGCACAATTTCAACGTCAGAAAAAAAAATAAGTTCTCTTGAAATAATTCATTTCACAACATATTTTGCAAGTTTGTTTGGAGATTAAAAAAACATTTTATCTTATTTACAAATTGTCCCATTATCAATCCATCGATATCAATTTCAACTAAAACAATTGCTAGTCGACAATCATCAAAAGCAAATAACGAGATAATTGTTCACAATTCAGAGAAATGTTGTTGACAAGAATTGATGATCGTTCCTAGATTTGAGTATATTCAATTCTACAAAGTAATAATGGATGAAGCACGAATGTAAGTATTGTGACTTAAAAAATGAAAATCTTGAATTGAAGAGAGAATATTTTCAGGAAATATTAGTTTTTTTCTATTATTCATCTTTATACAAACAAATATGAGAACCTTCCGAAAAAAAGAAGAATGTAATCAACTTCATTAGAAACTCATGAAGATGTGTAGATTATACTCAGAAGTTTCTTTCATGAACCGAAAAAAAAACCAACCGAAACAACTTCTTTCAAAAATATGAACTTTGAATGACACGAAGACAAGTTTTTTTAATCAGTTAATATTCTGAACATTACTTCATATAATTGAAACTGGTATCATCCACAGCAAAGCCACATAACGTAATTTATGAAAGAGTATTGGTATAAAATTGCACTAACATGGAGAACTAGCATTCCTAAATATACCTCTGAAGCTATAATTCTATGCGAGAATTGAGTGTTTCTTCTTTTCAATTTACTCATAAAGGCGCTGATGACGAGTTGGTGACACGTATTTTCGGACCGAAACTTCAAAAGGTACACCTAGGGATGATAGATTTTATACCGATGACTTTTCATGTATGTTACGGAGCGTTTCTGTGAATGATATATCTTTGAATTTCATAACGGTATTTGAAGTACAAACTAAATAGGACAAACTGATTTGAACATAATTCCATATTCATATTTTCGAGAGTTGTTTTTTCGGATTTTGAAACAGATAATTTTTTACCTTTTTTCGAAAATAATTTTCCTTCAAGGCAAAAAGCCATATTTCCTGCATACCGAAACGATTGGAGTGATAGTTTTTCAGGATTAAAATTATTATAAATACCCAGAACTGATATGGTGGCCTACTCACTTCATTTAACTTTTCAATTCCAATGAAAATCAACGATAACATTTTTAGTGAGGATAAAATGTGTGACTGCCACTTCACATTTATGAAAAGCTCAGAAATGGTAATTTTTCAAGTTTTTCATCAGATTATTGCCAGAAGTGAAAGTTTCATTATGGGTAAATAATTAAAAGTAAAAACTATTTTCAAAAACAAGCTTTTATTAAAGTACTCTGAAAATAAAAAAATATGTTTCAAATCAATTGAAACCCATCAATTCAATAAATTACACATTTTGTATGGTATTCACCCATTTACCTATTTCATAAAGACATACAATTATTGTCTTGCATCTTTGATTGACGACTTGTTTATTTTGTTGGAAATTCATGTTCACTGAAGATACACTATAGAAACACACTTTTGTCTTTGTTTGAAGGTGATTGACAATGTTTCGTGGTGTATTTCATCAGTTCGGACTTCCATTGTCTAAATAGTTATTTCATTTCGTCGTTTTCTTCCATATTTCATTTGATGCCAGTACTTTGTAGATTTATAAAAGAACCAGTTTGCCATCATAAGCGGTTCGTCACGATCATTTCAGAGTGACGTCATGTTATTTTCTGTACTCTTTTCACCAAACCTTTTCATTTGATACCCATATCATGAGAATGCATAAAGAGATAATCCGCCATTTTCGGCAGGCCGCCATATTGATTGTAGAATATTGTCACTTTACTATTCGTGCATTGTCATCCAAATTATTCGGGTGTGCAAAATTTCAGCTCAATTGGTTGAGTATAAGAACTGCAATACAGATCGCAGTTCTCGGTTAATCGGTCAAACCACCAACACTGACATAAAAAATTTGGCGAGTTGACTTGGGTGTCTACTACGGTAGGAAACTTCAGAGGGTGATTCCTTAGGTCGATTTAAGAAAAACAGTTTTTTTCAACATATGTCCGTAGTTGCCTCGCTTCTGAGATACAGAGCGTTGAATTATAAAAAACCGGTATTTATGAAATATCATGAACATCCTTACACCGATTTGGTTGAAATTTGCTACAGTTATTTTAGGTAATAAGGCGCTCATTTAGCCCGAACTAGATTGAAAATATTGGGTCCAGTGTAGTTTCAGTGATCACCATAGCCAACAATATTCTGAAAAAAAGTGCACCACTAACTTTTAGTTTTTAATTATTTCTTTTTAAGATTATTCAACTGAAAATACAACTTTTTCGTGGCTTGTGTTTTCTTCATATCTAGCTTCGTTTTCGAGAAGCCACTTTGCTTATCATGAACACCTGATTTGAAGACCAGCTGACAGTAATAGTATTGTCATATCAGTTGAAAGTCAGAGTTGTCAATTAGCAGTGATTTCATCATGAATAATTCAACTAACGCTGAAGTGACTGACATTCACTTAATTTATGGATAAGCAAATGAGAATGATGTAATTCCATGCTGAAACATTCAGAATGCTATATGCAAGGTTATGTGAAACTGGAAATTTTAATAAAAATGCAGGTGGTGAAAGACCAGAAACCGTATGGACAGTTCTAAAAAGAAACCTCCTATACCCATATCACATACAGCGGATCTAAGCTCTACTGCCCCGTGATTTTCACCCAAGATTAATGTTTTGCAGGTCGTTGATTCATGGGATGGCAAACAATAATAATTTTTCACCAAATATTTAATTTACGGACGAGAAAAATACTATTAGGAACTTTCACAATAACCATTTTTGGGCCGACGAAAATCCCCACGTTATTAGAGAAAGTCTTTTTCAGCAACAATTTTCGTTGAACATTTGGGTAGGAATGATTGGTGACTACCTAATTGGCCCATTTTTCTACTAGCAAGATTAACAGGTGAATCCTACACGGACTTTTTGCGAGATCATTTACCCATTTTGTTAGAAAAAGTGCCGGTACTTGTAAGAGGCAACATGTAGTTCATGTACAACGGGGCTCCAACTCATCCTGATATGAATCCACTAGATTTTCGTTCATGAGGTCATCTGAAAACTCTTGTTCATAAAACTTCTTTATCAGATATGAATGACTTGAGGAATCGAATAATTGACAATTGCAATGTCGTAACGAATACTCCAGATATTTTTGAACATGTCAGGCAATCAATGACAAATCGATTGAATTCGTGTATTTTATCAGAAGGTGGACATTTTGCTCATTTACTTTAAGGTCGAAATTGTTCATTTATTTTTGTTTTTCATTTTATGTTGTCCATGGATAGTTTTCAGAAGTTATTTTTACTGAAAAGCATATTTTTTAAGAAAAACTACACTCACCATGCCCAGAAAGAAAATCACACTTTGAATACACTAGCTGTCAAATCTGTATCGCCCGTTCTTCTACGCAACCGTTGCACTAATAAAAGTTAACTAGCTAAATTGCGGAATGAATTTAAATGATCCTTAGTGTGCGATAGAAATAGCATAAGCGCACGTATGCTTATGTGCATTCGATCGGTATTGACAACTGCTACACTTGTCGGTAAAGTCATTTTCTGTAAATCATTTAAAAAAGATTTTTGAATTCTTCATATCCCGAATGTTAAAGGTTACAGAGATAATAGGTCTTACTGTCTTTACTGACTACTCGAGAATGAGAAATTGCTTTGTGTTTCTCTTATCATCGGTTATCATTAACTACACATTAATACGTTATTTAAAGAACTCATTTCAATTGTTTTCCCTAATATTCCCAGACTAACTGAAATTCTGAATTATAAGAAGTGCCACACGAACGAAGGCACTGTCAATTAAATTCAATTAAGGTTCAAGATATGACCTCCACTTGATCTGGAAAGATCTCGATCACGTATGACTAACGATAATGTGTTTTTATTTGATTCAATTTGTCGATTCCTAACAAATTATTAAATTATGATCGGAAAGTTGATAAACAGAGTTGATACAAAAAATATCGAAACAATGTTACTTTCACGGCCGGCGATAACTGTGTCAAAGCTATTTTCCGGGTTTGCAGGCCGTGCTCTGCAGGTTTTATGCCTATCGTTTCGTCTACGACTGCGGTCGTTATTATCAAAGGCGATGAGGTAACACACCATGGTTGTCTGAAAGCACATAATACAGAAATCCACTAACAGATACTTCATATATTGATTGAGCTCAGTCACAGCTCAATGCATCTGTTACTCAATTATATGATGTAGTAAAAAGACCTAATCTCAGAGATGGAACAGTGAAAAATGTCGAGCTGACAACTTGCAGAATTGCATTTGACACACATGTTATGCAGAGGTGAACGTTTCAGAATATTTGTACGTGGTGTTGGCAGATAAAAAGGATTATCCACTCTAGAGGTTGGTCTAGGTACATTGAAATTTAGTTTTTGCTGAATATGTGGATCAATAATTAAATTATTTATTAAATAGTTTAGTCTAGCTAACAATGCATCATGGGGAAATCCAATTGGTGGATAGATATTGTCTGATCTATAGGAGATAATTTTTAGGAAACGACATTGTACTGATTCAACTTTCGCTATATACAACTGATGAGATGGATTCCAGATTATGGATGCGTATTCTAATTTTGATCTGACGAAAGCATAGTTTAAGGTTTTCGATGTAGATGGATCCAAAAATTCTCTGGAGATTCGTGCAATAAATCCATACATTCTATTTGCAGCAGACAGAGTGGCTTCAATGTGTGGTACGACGGAAAGTTTTGTGTCGAAGGTAACAGCTAGATTGGTGAATGTGAGAGGTCGTTTAAGTGGAATATCGTTTATTAAATATTGATTTCAAAATTGATGATTTTTTAGTGTGTACGTCATTACATTACATTCACTCGCGTTTAAAGGAAGATTTTCACGAAAACAAGATTGCTCAACACGTTTCAGATTCAGGACGAGCTGAAGACAAGACAGTCCTCAATGCCATTGATCTCACAATATAATTTCAGGTAATGCGCGCATATCAAACAGTTTATGTCAATGACCTCAACTATGGCGTTTATAAAGGCGTTAAAGAGAAGTGGACCTAGGTTGATTCCTTGGGGAACAACCAAGGTAGCTGCATATTCCACAGACTTGAAGCCATTAAGTATAACATACTGACGCCTGTCAGTGAAGTATGATATGAAAAGTTGGATCAGGATCAGAGAAAAGCCGTAACTGTACAATTTCGATAGCAGAAGAGAAACCAAAGTAATTTGGATTGTTAACTGAATGAAAATACATTGAAATGTTAAGGCTTTGGTTACTTCAGTATTACTTCTTGAGTTTTTCTCTTTCTACAACAAATAGATTATCACATTTCTTAGAATTTGTTATTAAACTGGAGATGCTCGATGGCTAAATGGCATCAATATGATCTAAATGATGTGAGCACAGAGAGTGGATCAACTATAGTAAGCAGTGAAAAAGAATAATTTTTGAATATTCAAGGAATTTGTGAATCAATAACTAATCGGATGATTTGGATTGAAGTCACAAGCTTGTACTTACTTAGAGTTTTTCATTTCACGAAATGATCTACTAATCGCTTCTTTCACTTCTCCCAATAATATCTGCTAGGTATTTTCTAATGTACCATTTCGAATTATTTGATGCTCTCCTTGTTACTTGATTTCATCTTTCCTCTTGAGTTTTTTGGTCTTGTTTTCTCTTCTTTTTTGGTACTGAAGATATTCTAGAAAATCTTTTTCTTTCCGTCTTTTGGTCTCCAATCCTCATTTTTTTTTAATCCCTAGCTGTGTTCTTGAATCTGGATGGCTCCAAAACGTTCAACTACTTCTATCATTATTCTTCAAGACATCTACTCATGATGCAACATGTAGAAGTTACTTGTTCAAATTTTCACCATACTTCAGTAGATTTTTTGAATCGAAGACACCTATCCCAGCGCTGTTGCCAATGTTAAGCCTATGAGTTTTTTTATAAATAAACAGGTGTATCAATGAACGCCTTTCAATACGAAATGAATGATAGATTGAAAAACAATCTAATTTGCATAAACACATTTGCTATACTTTGCAAATTTACTGTTCTACTGTATGTTCAAAGGGCCTTAAATGGTTTTCATTCTACCTTTCATCATTTCCTACTTCAAAAAAATATTGGTCTCATTAGGTTCGGTTATTTAACTCTTCTACTGTCACTTTTGAATCTCTGAACTGGTAGTAGTTGGTACGATAGTGGTTGGTTTATACTGATTTCAGAACCACCTTCCACCATGTTTACCCTTGGAATTACCTATACGTACGTCAAACAAAGTAGTCAAGGTGACTTTGAGAAGGTGTTTAGGGTTTGACCTTGAACGACCTTAACCTACGTCACACAACGCAGGCAAGGTAACTTGAGGGTTAGACCTGGAATGACCTTCATTCATTTCCCGTATTTACGACGAGGTGACTTTGACAGAACACATCGCTTTGAAGAGGGCAGTTGGTAATGTAAGGAATGAAGATCATTTAACTTGGTGTTTGTTTTTAACAAGTTCAAAAGAGCATTTATTTGAATAAACATAAACGCAAAGTTCAAAGATAAACAAACTTGGTAGAGTTAATAACCCGCTTCACTTGGTGAGTGACAGCAACCTACGACCGGCGCAAACAAAAAGTTTTGAAGTAGGATAATATCCATCCTTCAGAGATGTACTTAATGTGGAAGGTATAGATTTTCCAATGAAATTACGTGATATTCCAAAATTTGACGATACAAATGATTGTTCAGTCAATGTTTATGGGTGACAAACAACTTCCAAAAACAACAAAGCGACATACGAAATTGTTGGTCCACTTTATTATGCACGGCGGAAACTCGGTCGCCATGAAATTTTATTGAACATCACCGATGAATCTGGTAATAGCAACTCCTACTGAATGGAAAATCTATCAAAATTATTTACATCACAAATTCAATTCCATAGGCATAGGATTTATTTTTTTGATGGGTGCTTGATGTATTTTTCAGTTGCAATTTTATGTGTATATGTATGTAAACATACATGTATACACTGCCTGAACCACCGTGCATGCTGTTTTTGGCGAGTGCATTGGCTTGGGGTGTGGAGGTTGAGCAAACCGGCCTGCTTCCACGTAGCCCCGTTGGACACGGGAATGACAGAATCACTTGTGGTTCTGTTATTTCCTAACTGAATGGTATCCCGACTATGGTTCAATCCTAAGGGGTGTCGTAGCATCGTCTTGTCACGGTATGGCGGGGCTCTGCCGTGATTGACCTTCTTTCCCTAGCTACTAGTGGGACTTTTATGGACAAAGTAAACTTAAAAATTATTTCTGACGCTGAGTCTACAGAGGAAATGGATATCGAGCTTAGGACTCCAACTGACCTCCCTGTAAATTTAGATCAGGAGCGAGAGCTTCTCAACTCTCCAACTCCTGATCCAATAACTGAACCTAAAAAAAGGTTTGGTATGGTGCAGTCAGGAAACAACTTACGCGTTTCCTCAAGAGCGGGGTACCTTATGAAACCGCCTTACATCAAATTCTTGAGCGGCGTACGCATCATCTGTCTCAGGTGGAGCTGACTTGCAAAAACCCTCATATGGAAAGGTTGTCGCGGGTATTCAGGTGGGAATCTTGCACCTTGACTATCCAACTACCTCATTAACGATGAAACAGCAGAGCATATACTTTGTGCCTGCCCCGCTGGGGACCGAATCAGGTTTTTAGAGTTCGGCAGAGCCGTACTCTTACCATCTGACCTGAAAAACCACTCACCATACAAACTAATCGGCTTCGTTAAGAAGCTGGGTTTATTTGGTCGAGTGTGAATAGATATGAGCCACAATAAACCCTTGCAGATTGCAGTGGAGGTTCCAATAGACCCACTCACTTTGGACCTAACCTAACCTAACCTAACCCCAATGTATACATAAAAATGAACTGGATCCAACCCGTTCCTTCACAAATAAATCATTTAATCACGAGCCTCACTCATTTCCATAGAGAATTCGTTTTTCTTCCGGTGATTCAGCTTCCAAATTTATTCTATATCGTGGAGCGGATGCTACCAAAGTATTTGTAGCCGGACTGAAGTCTGACCTGAGCGCCATCCACTATACATATTTGAATAGCATCGTGCCAATGAAGTCATTAACAGAATCGGAGGAGAATGAATTTTCAACTGCTGATAGTTGCGATATTTCTGAGAAACCCTTCGAATATGGTGATGTCAGAGTGAGAGATAATTTTTACCTGATGGTAAGGAAAAGATGTGGAGCTGCACATTCTCGATGTAATTTGAATTACAAGTTTCCGAATTTCGTTCCAATAATTCTCTATAATTTGACAGACTATGACAGCCCCTTGTTCATAAAAGAGTTATGCACGAATAAGAGCAAGGTGGATATTATCAGTCAAACAAAGAAAAATTACATTTCTTTCACTAAGCATCTATAGATAGGTACCACAATAGATAAATTTGATAAATTAAAAAAACAAATCTTGAAGCTGAGATTCATCGATAGCTGGAATCGATAACTGATATTGACATAACTTTTTTCCAGAAGGGTATACGTAAAGGTATAATTCAGTGTTCTGAAAGGAAGCATGTTGCCAATAATCGTTTTCTGTCAGATTATGATGTCACTTATTTGGACGCTACGAACCTCTATGGTCACAGTATGTCCCAACCATTACCGACAGGTGGGTTTTCATGGTTATCCGAACGAAAACATTTTCAACTAGATATCATGGGCGATGCAGATGATGATCCTAAGGGTAATGTTATGGAAGTAGATGTCCATTAC